TTTGCAGCAAGGTTGCCATATTATCTTCGGGTAACCAACCATATATCTATCTACATATACATATACATCTATCTATCTATATATATATATATATCATATGAATCTATATTATGAATAAAAGCTGTGGCCAGATATCGCCAAACCATAAATGTATTTTGTTTTAATGGCACCATCTGAGATAATGGAATTTAAGTAAATAGACTTAAATTCAGTTATCGCTGGGGCCACTGACGGATTGTGTTTCATGTTTTAGATTTACCTAACATGAGTGACGTTATATTCTGTGACGTAATTTAGTCCTTTACAGAATTTCATCGCAGCAAGCAAGCTGTTTAAATTTCGTAAGCGGTAAAATTGAAAACCCGCCCTCCCACTCCTTTTTTTTTTGTACGAGATACTGCTCTTTTGTATTTTTTTTTCAGGTTTTTGTCGGTGACAGTGGTAATACAGATTTGACTGATGATGTTAATTTGTTTGCGGTTGAGAAAAGTGACTTTTATTTGAACTTTGAGCATCATAAATAGATTCCCAGTAATGGTAGAATTCGCTGCATAGAATCTTAATGTTAACTATAAAATTTTAGGCTTTTGGGTAATACAGACTACACTTGTGTATCTCACGGTGTTTTCTAAATTTAAAGCACCAGTGTATCCCACGGTGCATCTTTACATTTTCATATATATCTATCTATCTATCTGCATTTTGCAGCAAGGTTGCCATATTATCTTCGGGTAACCAACCATATATCTATCTACATATACATATACATCTATCTATCTATATATATATATATATCATATGAATCTATATTATGAATAAAAGCTGTGGCCAGATATCGCCAAACCATATATGTTTTTTGTTTCAATGGCACCATCTGAGATAACACATTTTGTTTAATCAACCTTCTTAAAGGGCAACTGTTATGACACTGTGCATTGTTTCAGGAAAGTTGATTTAATAATTATATAATATTGTTTCATTTTGTCGATTAATATTATTGTGAACCATCGTATTAATACATACATGTGAAGATTGGTTGATTGTTGGTTATTAAAAATCCAGTGACAAATATTTCATGCAAATTTAGTCCGAGACAGTTAACAATACATTAACATACAATATGTATAGGTCCTATAATAGGCCATCCCGCACAACCAAACCAATCGAATGCCCCACATGAAAAGTGTTTAACAGTAAAACGATGAAGATCAAGAATGACTTTTTTTCTAATCCCTTGTCACCATTTGGGTGATGTATGTGAAATGGATAAGGGATTAAAAAGAAGTAAAACAATTATGGAGTAGTAGGGTACCACACTTAAGTCACAAGGTCAAGTTCAAAAATTGCCTGAGGTCACTAGCCATAGGTGACTTTTAACAATCTTTTTTGTTCTAAACTGATCTGATTTTTGGTTTCATATGAACATTTTCATAGGTCACAGGTCCTTTAGCAAATGAGATTTCATGTTTTGTCACACACCAACACCCTCCCAAAGATCACAGGTAAGAATTTGCCATGTTAGATCCACACATACATGTATATATAGTCATGATAGTCTGGTGTGCATGTACATGATATAGGGACTGTTAATATTCTATTTCTATTATACTGTATCTGTACTTGCGCCATGAACTGTTGATGATTTTCCTATTTTCATTTTCATCTAATCATGCTAAAATGAGTTTTTTGAAGGGCAAACTAAAAAAAAAGGAATCTGCATAAGTTATGGTTCATGTGGTCCTTTTGGCTAAAATGGCTGCATTTCCACCTCAAAATTTACTCTGAGTACAGACAAAGCTGTGTATCTGCAAAAGTGTTAAGGCATAGCATGCCCCAGATAATTAAAATTCAAATATATTTTATAATTTAGAAAATGAAAAACTTAGCAGGATTATGCAGTGCACTTTTTTTCATTCCTTCAGAAGGTGCAAAATAAACTAACTTGTGAAAGAGGTTTGCGAACTTCCCCACAGGTAATAATTGAAGTGAACTGTATTGATTGACATGGACAATAGATGGACAATAAATACCTGACAATAATTGGAGATTTAAACTGTGTATCTGAGTGGACCATATGAAGTGAAACTCAACAGTTTGTTAATTCTATCATCTTCTGCAGGGACGAAAAAAGTGCACTGCAAAGTCCAGTTAAGTTTTAAATTTTCTAAAATCTACAATGCATATGAATTTTATTTATCTAGGGCATGCTATGCCATAAAACTTTTCCAGATGTACAGGTTTGTCTGTACTCAGAGTAAATTTTGAGGTGAAATCGCAGCAATTTTAGTTAAAGGGTCCACATGAACTTTAAAAAGGGGGTGGGGAAAGGGGGTCATACATGCATTTCAATGATGCATTAACTTTTCACAAGCCCAAATCCTAACTTTGCCTTGGAACATGATGATGCAGGAGTGCGGCGATATAGAACGTCGATTCATACCTGTGATGTGAAAATCCATGGATGGTACTAGCGGGATTCGAACCCTCAATCTCGGGATCTAAAGGCAGCGCTCTAACCAATTGAGCCAAAGAAGATCTTCCCTAACTCAACTAGTTAGACTACCTTTATATCTCCAGGTCTACAACACTCTTCCCCCTTTTCGGGCTGCGTACCATCCATCCGAGCAACTCGCAGGTACAACCCCGAGACATCTACTCGGAAATCCTCTGGCCAGTTCCACCTAGATATGTCACGGTCATCCACACATGACCATATCAAACTGCCAGGCACCTATATATTCTTGTTTGTACAAGTAGTACTTGCTCGCAGCGCCAATGATGTGAAAATCCATGGGTGGTACTAGCGGGATTCGAACCCTCAATCTCGGGATCTAAAAGCAGCGCTCTAACCAATTGAGCAAAAGAAGATCTTCCCTAACTCAACTACTTAGACTACCTTTATATCTCCAGGTCTACAACACTTGTAAAGAAAATGTGCACATTTTTCCTTCAAAATCTTGGATCCATGATCATGATACACATGCTTTAAGATATTGTTCATTTATACTTACCGAATGCAATTTCCAGCTCAGCTTATGTTGTGGTCTAACATCTGTAGCTTTTCTTCTACGATATATATTGTGTAAAATGTAGTTTGCCGGCCGGCCGTTCTGCCGACAGGAAAACAACCAAAAATAAAGTAAATCGTTTACGGTGAAGAATATTTTTCCGTTTTTGATACAACTTGACAGATTTGATTAATGCTCATCGAAAAATGTCCCTGATGGATAGCAATTCAAATAAAACAAGTTAGTATGCTGTACTGTATAGGTAGTCATATTCATTAAATATATTTTAATTACAGCGACGCAACATTTTCACTTCCGCATAATTTATCAAAACTATTTTAAATGTAAATTTTTATGAATGCATTACTAATAGCATCTTCTGCAATAATTTTAAACCTCTTTTTTAAACGGAGGCTTCTAATATGATGAAGCTAGTTATGAAAGACTCTGAATAGGCAGAATAAAAGATAAGATACCTAAAGGATCGTCAAACTCACAATACAAGTAGATATGAACAAACAATGCCATCGCAATAAACGGAAAACCGTCGACAAAAAGACAAACAAAGATCGCAAAAATAAATAAATAAATAAAAAACAAAACAAACCCACAATAGATGATAACAACAATATAAACGATGGGTCATTTCACAACTATTCCAAACCTTTAAACGGTGAGACGTGAAATGTTTTTTTAACGGCTGCAACCGTGACGCTAAAATATTTGTATTAAACATTTACCGACTGTAACAACCTATTAAATGTTAACTTTAAACATTTAACGACTGTGGCAACCTTTAAAACGTTGTAATAAACATTTAGTGACTGTTACAACCTTTAAAAAGTTGTAACACACATTTTACAACTATCTAAACTCTAAATACGTTGTAGCAAACATTTTTTGACTGCATCAACGTCTGAAAAGTTGATAAAAACAAATTTCGACTGTCCCAACTATTAAAAGGTTGGGACAAACATTATACAACTGCCACAACTTTTGGAAAGACTGTAACAAATAGTTTTTGACTGTGACAACGCCGTAAATCACTGCAACAGTCCACAAATTACTGTGGATAGCAATTTTTGTTTTTCACAATCCCTAAAAGTGTTTGGACAGACATAAATTAACTGTTACATTTCTTATCATGAGAGTAATACTATCGATGTTAACTTTATCTTTAATGAGTTTTAATGTACCAAAAGTCCAAATATTACTTTTCTTTATAACACTATATCTTACTAGACATATTGTGTTCTATATGCATATGATGGGGTTGACTGGATACTCACAATCTTACATATACTAAGCCAAATTTCCTTTTCAAGCCAATTTAATAAGAGATAAAATTGAGAATGGAAATGGGGAATATGTCAGAGAGACAACAACCCGACCAAAGAGCAGATAACAGCCGAAGGCCACCAATGGGTCTTCAACGCAGCGAGAAAATCCCGCACCCGGAGGTGATTTAGGATTTAGGATAGAATGCCTGGATTGATTGCAGCTTTCCTATTGGGAACATTCCGTTTCTATTTAGCAAAATGTCAACAGCGCCTGCATATATAGCATATATCTTTAAGTTGGTACAATATTCCAAAGCTTTCGTTTTATTTCATGTTTTCTTTGGTAGAGCGTTGTTGCTCATAAGAAAGTCATCGAGCCAAGGGTTTTTAATATCAAAGTTAAAAGTATAAATCTGAACGTTTAACGGACGCCACATTGATTTGGTTGACCTTTGGTTGCGAAAAATATGTGTCACCGGTAGATGACCACGGATCGATATGTTCAAATTATAGTTGCCACAATTCTGTTCTATTTCCATGATTGTGACATCTTTGAATACGCTACTTATATTTTTCAGTCAGATATAAATGATAAATTTTTAATATCATTATGATTTGACCAATATTTTTTTATATTTATATATTATATTTTAACACTACAATCAGTCAGACGAGGACACAAATATATTAAATTCAGATAACTGAAACTTACCTTTATTTCACTGGAATTGTCATCGTTTTGACTCCGAAGCCACCCTATAACACACAGTGCTATAATAATGAATATAATGATTTCTATCATAATAAATATCCAATTTGTTTACTCAGTTTTTCGTTTTTGTGTCAGAAGCTATAGAAATAAAATATTTAATCATCTCATTTAATCTGATCTACCCAATCTTGGATAAAAATATCATTTGTCAGGTGTATGACATTGACATTTAAATCATAAACTAATGTTATGTAATATCATAACCCTCAACAGGTTATCTTTTGTTAAATGATTTCAAATTGTAATAAAGGAAGTATTTTCAATGTCACAATTTTGACAATATTTCCTTTAAGTTATCTGTTTCACAGTAGAGAAAATTATACGTTTACTTTTCCTGTTTGTATTTTCGCTAGGTACAAGTCAATATGCATGTATTAAATATGTATGTACTGAAATCTGTGATACAAATATAGGTAGTTTTGCATATGACATATCAACAAAATCGTCCAAGGAATATTCTGACCGGAGCGCAAGAGTTTTTGCATGGGAACAAAAGTTGCTTCTACATATGCAAAAGTTTTTCAAAAATATAATTTTACACAGGTTTTCATACTGTTGCAGTTTAAATGCTATATACAAAATCATTGAAACTAAAGTTAAATGGTACGCTATCGGAGAGGATATAAATATGTGGTATCACACAAACTACAATATAAAAAACCCTTATCTAAGGAATGTGAAAAAAGATTCACTGCTAAAGGAGAAATGGTTCTTACTAAAATGAAAAACAGACTAGGTTTGCTTAATTATGATATTGCGGAAAGATTAAATCTTTCTGAGTCTTTAATTTCAAAGATTTTTACAAAATGGTTAAGAGTGCTTTCTTTTTCATAATGAGCGTGGTTTTAATCCTCTAAAGAAATTGAAATAGAAAAACTACCTTCTTCCTTAGAAATTACTCCATATACATCTTTGGACATATAATGATTGCACAGGATTTTTTTATAGAGACCCCAAAATCTGGAGGTACAATCATTGACCATTGGTGATTATAAACATCACAATACAGCTAAATTTCTTATCAGCATAGATCCTTCAGGCATAATTAATTTTGCTATTCAAAATGATTGGGTGGAAGAAATCACTAATATTTAACAAGTCAACCAGGTTTTTATGACCTCGTGGAGCCTTAAGATAGTTATTGCTGATCGAGGACTTCACATGCAAGAGGAATTTACACTGCTTCAGCTAGTGTGTCCTATAGACGGTTTTTTGTAACCCCTGTCCTTTTATGTTAACTTTTTGGCCCCATGGTTATTTTCTGTTGCCGTAATTTACGATCGGATTTACGATTCGTCTTTTAACAAAACCAATCTTAGTTATTTCCCTTTGAACAAAATAAAAATTGTAATGGCCGACATTTTTTTGATTTTGTATTTATGTTTGAAAAAGTTTGAAGCGAAGCAAGCATAAATATGGTTCATGATTTAATCGAATAAGGGCAACACCAACTTTATACCTCTACGAATCTTAAATTGTAGACAATTTAAAGGGAAACCAGGTTATAATTTTACGATGCATGATATGAACATAACGTATACATCAGCTGTTTGTTTATATTTTCTTCTAGTGTTATTCGGTCGATCGAGACGGCGGATTTGGTTTTATATTACGACGGCTTTCTTACTGTTGTTTCTTTTAAATAAAATTAAAATAAAGATAATAGCTCATACAGTTTTGAATGCAAGTACAACGAATTAATAGCTTTCCGATCAGTATTCTCTGACCAATTGATTAGTAAGGGTGTCAATAGAACAACTTTCATGAAAGATGGTTGGTCGATTTCAGGTGTTTAGTTCCAAAACTGAATACCATTCCAATCAAACAGAAAAAGAAAAAGAATATTAACTTGAAAAAATAATGATGTTCAGACTATCCAGTAGTTCTTATTTACCTGTAAACGTCAACAACACCTACTGAATTGAACTGAATTGAAAGCAAGCGAATTATCTGAACAGTACTAAATTTGCCGCTGTTTATAAGTCTGAAGATTGATTGAAAGACTGAACATGATTTTTTTACTGATATATTGTTCAGACTTATCAGGTTATGTTAATACCGTTTTAGACTTAAATTCATTTTCTAGTGTTGGATTTGGCAATAATTGTACGTCCTTGGTTGTCATATAGCTCTTCAACTGTTTCGGCTTTTATACATTCTTGGCTTTCGAATATTCGACTTTGAGCGTTCTTGAAGAAGGCAAATCAGGAAAAATGTTTGAAAAACCTGAAATTTATAGTCTTATTTTCATTATTTACAGTACTGAGTCTATTTCGCTGCTAGTGGACTATCAGTCCCCAACGGTAGCGCCAGTTCAGTAGTCAATACTGCGCATGCGGTACTGATATGATTTATAACAAATCGTTTTTAAATTGACTGTTTATAAAATTATAAATTATTAAGAACATAAGTTTTGAACGCCTTCAGGCAAAGTTGACAACAGATGAATTTGGAAAAAGAATGTATTAAAAAAAAGTTTGAAACATTTACACACATGTGTAATGAGTGCCACATGGGAGCCAATTTGCACTATTCAGTAAAATACATTGTATAAGGTGCGTTCTGTTCTAGCCAGATATTAACGTTAATGCTGTAAAAACATAAAGGGGAAGATGTGTTTATTACCTGTCTGCCATCTAATTGATTTAAATTGCTTCCCTGTGGTCGACCTGGTTCTGATGGTATATAAGTATATGAGTACATGTGGTGCCTCTAGTCTATGGAAATCCTGACATTTTTATTTTACATTTAAAATCTTTAATGGCACCACAAAGATGAAATTGAAAAAGTAATATTTTGATTTTATAGATACACATTCTGAATTTTAACTTATTAGCTATTTTTGATTTGTCTGAATTCAAAATAAGAAAAACCCAACAAGAGTCATATATAAGGATATATGTTTATACAATTATTTGTACATGTAGGAACATATCAGATGTATATGTAATACATGTAACTTTAGTAGCAGAAAGGAAAACTAGGTCGACTGAGCATGTTTTGTAGTGAGTACGAGCATATTTTATATTTTCCTGCAATGTACAAATTATAAATTATCCTAAAGTTTAACTTTTAGGGTTTAACGTTTAGTTTTTTTTTTAATTTTCCAACCGATCAATATGATTTATAATGTCATCGACATACATTTAGGCCGTGAGTACCCCACCATGAACATAAACAGTACGATTTATTTATTAATTTAGAACGTTTTCATGTTTAAAATATTCTTGATAATTCGCTTACTAGTAGTCCTCTTTAAAGAGAATAAACCAAATTATCCAAAGATGATAAGTTTTTCATGAATTTATATTTGGTTGCGCTTTCTAATTTTGAGCCAACCCATCTTTGTTTCAGTTTTATCGAGCATGGCAATAACACACATGTCATTAGAAATAAGAAGATGTGGTATGAGTGCCAATGAGACAACTCTCAATCCAAGTCACAATGTGTAAAAAGTAAACAATTATAGGTCACAGTACGGCCTTCAACACGGAGCTTTGCCTCACCCCGAACAGCAAGCTTTAAAGGGCCCCAAAATTACTAGTGTAAAACAATTCAAACAGGAAAACCAATGGTCTAATCTATATAAAAAACGAGAAACGAGAAACACTTAAGAACCACATCAACAAACGACAACCACTGAACAACAGATTCCTGACTTAGGACAGGTTCAAACAAATGCAGCGGGTTTAAACGTATAAACAGGATGTTATGTTTAAGCATGTTATGATATTTTACATTTCGTGTTTTAGAACTGCCATGAGACGTTTCAACTCATCAATAAAACGATAGAGGGATACAAATTCTTCTTTTACGGACACCCTTTGCTAGTGTAAAAATGCAAAAGTTGGCCACTATTTGTAATGTCTGTATAAATAAATGTTATCTATTTACGTAATCTGGAGGTCATTATCGTATATATCACCATTTCATTTTTTTTTTGTTATTATTCAAAAGATATTCGACCTTTTTTTTCAGGCTCATCGAGCAATAACAGTCCTTAAATATCTTTCTTCAAACTGTTTTTTCAAACATGAAAAAAATATCTTTACCCGTTCTCCACCGTATCTTCCTCATAAGAAATCTTCTTATAATACATATAATCTATTAAAAGTATGAACTATTAGCTATAGAAAAAGATGATAATTAAAAGAACAAATATATGATCCCATGAACTATTCTATATGTTCTGGACAAAGAAAGTTTTGAGGATATTCATGCAAATCTAGACATGATAAATGTGCTGTGTACAAACAAAAGGATAAATCTGCATACTGGTAGTCACAGATTATCCCTCTATTGTCATTATCATCTTCAGTGATTCCACAAATATTACAACACATTTCATCAAACTCTAGATTTGTGTCAATTTCACTTATCTTTTGATCATGCATTCGACCATCTTTAGTTGCCTTATCAGTTTTTTGTATCTTTACAGGAGACAATCCGTTATCGTCAGTATCTGAATCATCGCCCGATTCTATTCTTCGTTTATTTTGCGAGCGTTTAGATTCATGGGAAGGATCAACATCCTATCAAAGAAAAAAATTGAATGTAAATAAATCAATAAAGGTAAATGATACTATACATATTTACAGTGACCATAAAAATCTAAACATGCCCTTACATCTCTTTGTCGTACTGTTGGGTCCTTGATTTGCTGCATGTGAACTCTGCATCTTTCTCTAAATGAGTTTCCTGTTTGGCCTATGCTTGCTTATGAGTTGCAAACCACTCAATAAATTAGATTTTCGAAGCCACAGTTTAAATCACGATTGAGCGTTATAATATTTTTAATTGACAAAGTTTGTTTTGATCCAATTCCAATACAGGTACAAACATCGCGTTGTTTGTCGTTACATCTGCTTACTTTGAAGTTATCAAATCGAGACAAGGTCACTATTTGTTTAAGGTTCTTTTGCTTTTTGACGGCAACTGTTCTTGGTATAATGTTTTCAGCTGTTCTGTACCATGTAACCATGTTATATCGGAAAGTGTGCTTGAATATACTCAACATATAAACGTTGTGCGGATTGATGGTAAAAAACGCTTCGTGTCGTTCCCGTTTTATTGATTATCTAGGTTCAGATGATGGCTTTTGACTTTTCAATTCTGGCATTTATTTGTTAACTAGTATGATTT